TGGGAAATTTTTGAATTACTAATAAGTTGAAAGCACAGTCTCACATATCCCTATGGAATATGCATGAAATCACAGCCAATTTCCCAGCAAGTGGTAAGAGGTGATGAGAGTATTATATACAATTGTTTGAACTGATCTGGCAGACAAGATAGTGTCATCTTTCGGAATCTAAACAGATCAGGGTCTCATCAGTGCCTGGATGGACAGGTCCCTGGGAACTCCAGCTATGCAGCCTTGGGTGATCTATTACAGAAGGAAGGCAGGATATTAATCTATTAAATTTGTGAATACAGACCAAGTTCTACAAGTTATTCAATGCAGGTTATCTAAACATGAGCTCATTTTAATCCACTTTACTCTATTTGTGTCTGAATTTGTGACTTCATTTAGCTCTTGAGAGCTATGTAACTGCTAAGCGACCACACACCTGTCATTTCAGAAGTTAAAAATGTGAGCTAGGATTCTAAAAAGCATATAATAATGTGTTTGCAGGAATATAACAAATGGGAAAATGGGATATGAAATTAGCAGATGGGAATGATCCTCAGGTTAGAACATTTAGGAGATTATTGTCTCCTAAATCAGCTGCTAGTTGCCCTTATTTTGAACTCTGACTTCTATAGTTTACATTTGCAGTTATTATACATATTAAAAATCAAATACAATCCTTACCTTGTCTTTTCCCTCTTTTCTATTTTCATTTTTCAACAGGGCTTCATACGCTGTGACCAAATTTTTGCCAATTTAAAATACTACTACTATTACTTTCTTAAAATCACTAGATTTTTAAACTTATGAATACTGTACTGCATTTCATTTTAGCATTCTTTGATAGCTCTTCAGATTTTATTATGAAATCATAAGTAAAATCATCCTGTCCCCTGGTATTAGCTGCATAACCTCTTTTGTCAGCCTTGCTATGTGTTGGGAATTGCATTGCTACGTACTTTGCAATGGAACCTGTTTATTAACAGGTAAGCACCAAGAGCACTTTTAAAAATCATTAAAAGTTTGTTTCAATTTTCTGCATGTTCAAGGTACTCCTCAACCATGATGATGTGCAAATTATCATGTGGGAGGGTTTTTGTTTTATTTTGTTTTTTGGAGGTAGTTAATTTAGTGAAAAATCAATGTTTTAATTTTATTTCTTTGGAGGTTGATTTTCTTCTATTGCAGTTTTTGGGACAATCAAAAAAACCCTGTACATAAAATTCTAGGGGTGAGGGTGCCTCTAAGAAATGTTGGTTACATTTATTAGTTATTTATCATGTCTACAGATGCTTTGTCTGCAATCTGTTCCTTCCTTTTTTGTGAAAAAAGAGTATAGAGAATGAAGACATTTATTTTCTTAACAGTCAGATTGCTTACTTTCATTAACACTGCCATTGACAGGATGTTGTTGTGAGGATAAAATGGAGCTATGCAAGCTGCTTTGGGTTCCTCACAATAGGAAAAGAGGTAGGGTATAAATGCAGTGTAATAACAATCACCATCATCATCATCATCATCATCATCATCTACCAGTTTACATACTCTTTTGCAAACTATAAAGGTTAAAGGTTCTTTTCATTTTCTGTTAGAACTTTCTTTGTCACCCAGAACAACTAGATTTTCATAACTTAGTGGAAAATTGCTTATTAGTTTGGCTTTTGGAGCCACTATGCTTCCAACTGCATCTTTAGGTGCTTTCAGGTAAGCTACACTCTCACCTCAGAGGGTAGGCCAGACTTAATGGCAATTCTCAGACAAGGACAGTCACTTTTCTCTGTTCATAGAAAGATCTTTCCATTTCTTGTTGCTTGGAGGTTGCTCTCAGCATTTCCAGGGCACAATGCCACTGGCCTCCTTAAAAGAACCAATGCTTAGCAGGTTTGATTATCATAATACTAAAACCCAGGGTTATCCAGTGCAGCTGAATTGTGGGTAAAAGTATCAGAGCATTGATGTTAGTACTGCAAGATGCACTGAAGACAACAACTTGGATGACTTTAAAGGGGAATAAAACACATTTGAGGAAGAAAAAGCATTCAGCATTACTAGTCCTGATGGTTCTTGTTCCCAAGTATTCAGCAGCATTTACTGGGGAGCAAGAGCAGAGTTCTTTGTCTGATTCCAGAAGTGTCAACATTCTTTGCTTTTTATGAGGATTTCATTTGTAAATTACACAGGAAAATAGTGATTCTCCTTTGTTCAGCACACAGAGATACAGGAATCTTAGACTGGAATTTCAGGCCTGAGATTTCCCTTTCTCATATATATATATATATATATAATAAATGCAATGTAAATATTTAGAAATATAAATGATGAAAACATAAATACTTAATGATAACAGTAAAGATAGCTTCGACACTTGTGATCAGATAGTCTCCACATATCTTTCTGAATGCATGATCAGATGATGATCATTGTGGTTTTCCGATACAGAGAACATGGCCTGCTTAAATGCCTGTATTGCTGGGTAGCTAAAGATCCCACAGTGGTGTGGACATCCTAAAACGCATCTGTTTCCAGTTGAACCAATCTTTCCATGAATCTAGATACATAGCCAGCTTGCTTTAAGTGTTGAGAGAGGCAACTTCAGAAACGCAGGTTTTGTTTGATACTGCTGATTTCAAAAGATGTCAGGGAAAGATTGTGTAATTTTTGTAGTGAACATAAGTTGTATGTGTTGTAGCAGTAGTTGTATGGTCTGTTCTTATTACAGTTAATTGACATTTCATGATTATTGTCCTTTTATAATTTTATCCGGATTTCTTCAAACTGAGCAATTGGACAACAAAATACTAAATATAGTTAAAGATGGATAATTGTGAAGTTCCTTACATAGCACATACTTAATTTTTGGAATACCCTACAGAAGTTGTGAAGATGGGAATTCTCTTAGATAGCTTTGAAAAGGTTTGAGACACATTTACAATGGATAAGGTAATTGATGGCTAATAGCTATAATGGCCATATGGTACTTCCATATTAGAAACAGCAGTGCTATTGAGTACCAGCTGCTGGGAAGTAACAGAGAAAGAGATTACTTGCCTTCATGCTTCATTTGTGGGTCTTTCAGTGTCCCAGTTGCTCTTCATCCCAGTCCATTTGCAGTTATTTGACTAGTTATGGGGGAAACGGGATGCTTATTTCTCTCTATGTTGTATCCAAACTAGAAGCACATGGTGTTGGATCAGTGCAGAACTCTTACCTTGGGCCACTAAGATGACTAATTAACTAATAGTCACTGTAGTATAGTATAGTACTAGGGACCATCAATCCCAGTTGTGTGAAGTACTGATAGGCAAATCTCTCAAGCTGAGTTTCACTCAGGTTCAAATTTTCCCACTGCTTAATTAGTTCCATCCTAATTCTGAATAAGAGTATGATTTTAGTCAGCCTGAGCATTTGTACACATGTATACACATGTGCATTTCTCACGCTAGATGTAAGTTTGGTATGCTTACTTTTAAAAAGTATGTTTTTTTGTGTGCACTTTTCCAAACGTGCATATTTTTATGTGAATTGTATTCTGGAATATGTTCAGGTTTAGGAATTGCAAACCTGTTGTGTTTTCATTAAAATTTGAACTGAAAAATTCTCACCCATCCCGAGTGTGGCATGTGCCCCTTCTTTTCCTGGCCCTCCCCAAAGCAGCACCCAGGGAAACAAGCATGGGGAAAAATTAAAGTAGGGGTCTCTGTTGTAACGTTTTCACACATTAAAGCAGCAAGTTTTATAGCTCACAGTTTGAAGCCTAGTCTTTTCCCAGATGGAAAGCTGCATTGTTGTTGAAACATTGGTTATTGTGTTGCCTGAACTCAGCTGTGCTAACAACCCATGGTATATTAACCATGAACAAACCATGAAGAGGACATATGGTTTATTCCTGGGTTGTGAATTGTGGGTCATTCACCATTGTTTCTTAATGTGGCTGGCTTCAGATAATGTGATAACCCATATTTAACAAGAGCACATGGTTCAATGCCTGTGTTGTCTGAACGCAGTCATTCTTTGTCTCTTTAGTGTAGCATTGTCTTCATTGAATTTACAGGGTCTCTTGTGAAGATCTGTCACATCACCTGTTGCCCAAGGTCCTTTTAACTGGAGACAAAAGACACTGAACCGAGGTGTCTAGCAGCAAGTGTTTGCTGCTGAGCTGAATCTTGTCCTCATTTTTTTTTCCTTCTCTCCCCTTCTCTTTTAACGTGGATTACTTCTTTGGACTGGCATTTCATTCTATCAGTGTCGATTTTCCAAAGGTTACTATTTGGAATTGTACACTAGCTTGTTAGGAAGCTGCTCTGAATGAATCAGTGTTGCCAAATGCATTGCAGCAAGAAATACCTTGAATATATCTTGAATGTTTGTTCTGTGTTTTGAACATTCCAGTGTAAGGAAATATTTTACATTGGGTTGCAGCACCTATATTTAAGTTTAACCTCAGGCTTTTAAAAGAAGAAGCTGTTTCAACCATTTCATCATATCTGAACAGATGGAATTAAACTGTCAATTTGAAAGAAGAGGGTATACATCGTGGAAAGTGAAGCTACACATTTATATATAGCCATGGTCATAACCGTACTGGTTTGGTGGTTGTGTGATGGATCTGCTAAAGATTTTTCTGAGTAGGTGATTGTGGTATTTAGGACTTTTAGCAAGCAACTTAATTCAAAGCGAACTTGTAGCAAGTTATAAGTTCATTAGAAATACAGTAATCTCACTACAGGGAGTAGACTGTGACCAGGTGTCCAGGTGCTATACTTGCTCAGTTCTCTGTCTAAGTGTTAACAGGTGACTTCAAGGTCCCTTTGCTCTTTCCTTAAGTTCTTGATCTTTACGTTAGCCTTGGATTGAACATTGTAAAGGGCATCAGGAATGGTACCTTTGATAATATGCCTTATTTCAATACAAATTGTAATGCTTTGTTTACATTTAAAATAAAAGTGAAGAATTTGAAGCTTGCTTTGGAATCTGGAGCTGCAAATTTCTAAGCAGTTATTTTCTGTTTGCAGGGCTGAATCTGAATTGTTGCAGTCTGGACAAAAGAGCTCTCATGATGCCTAAAAGGAAAGAGACCAGGTTGGGAAGAGATACCCTAAGGAAACAGTGAAGTTTTTCAGGTAAGCATTGAACTTAGTATTACTACCTTTTTATTTGATTCTTCTTTCTCATATATAGTATCACACTCTTGTAATATAAAGATTATGTACCATACCCATAAATAATACAGTGCAGAATACAGACACTTACTGTATAACAATGCAATGTCATATGTGTTGAGATACATATACATGCACATACATGCACACATATTGCAATACAAATATTTCAATATATAACTGGAAAATCTTCTATTTCTCTTTCCTTTTCCCTGCAAAACTAAATCTTCCTTAACTGGCAGTGACTCCTTGTTTCCCTAACCCCTGCTGCCACTGCCAGAGAGAAGTAACTGGTGTCACAATAAGAGCTTCCATCTAATTACCTCTTTCCCTTAACATACGTATGCAAATCAAGTCATTTACTGTTCATTAATGTCAGTAAGATATGTTATTCACAATGCATTTACCTCTTGTTCACAATGCATTTCCTATATGTTGCTTGCATCCCTGATTATGTTCGTTCCTCTTTCTCATTCTAATTAAAGATGGCCCTCACAAAACTTCCCATGTTGGAACTTGCACAACAGGCACCTGTGACTGAGAGATTCATCTCAGTACTTGGAAGAGTGGGCCTTTAACTTAGGCATGCATGTTTTTTTTTACTAAGCTGTAGTTCAGTAGGTCCCATGCCCTGCATACTAAAAGTCGCAGGTTCAGTCCCTAGTACCTCTACTGAAAGATATCCTGCTTGAATCCCAGGAGGGCTATTGCCAGTAGCTACATGGCCCAGTCTCCTATCTTGGTAGAAGACAACTTCCTAGGTATGTATGATACCATATATCGGAAGGAACGAAGAAAGCACTTAACTTGGTTGCTGTTCATTGGTTGCAGCAGATGTGCACACATATCCTTCCATCAGTAATAAAGCTAAAGCCATTATTTTTAAGGGAAAACCTGCAAGCATCCCATCATTGGTCTGAAACACAAAATTTGTTCCAGGGTGCCATGGTTATTGCCCCGCTGAAGATTGGTTCCATGGCGGCTGATGTGTCATTACAAGTGACCATTACAGGCTTTAGGGAGAGCCTTTGTTAAGGGATGGAGTTCAGATTCCCTCCCTACCTGCTCCCAGCTATCTTCACACCTTCACCTTGAGCAGGCCAATCTTTGTGTGACTTGCTGTCTCTGGAATTCGTTGAGAACCTATTTGGACTGCCATCTACTGTGTGCACCACCCACACCTACACACTATGTTAAGCTGAGTCCAAAACCCAACACAAAGATGCTTTGTACCTTTGAAAGCTGGTGTTGTTGTGGAGGGTAAGAGCAGTGGAAGATTCAGTGGCTGCTGCAGGAGTTTAGCTCTTAGCTGCCCTTTGAGAAATGGGGCTTTAGATCTACAAGTTGTGGATTGTTTGTTTTCTTGTCTAAAGATACACAAATGAACCTTCAAGCAGAACTGCCTGTTAGGCAGCTCCAAGAGTTGCAAAGTGAGAGACAACAGCTGCGTCATGAGATTGGAAGTGAGTCAGCCTGCTCTTGTTTCTTTGCTGTTCTCCTGTAGGACACTCCTTGGCTGCTTGCATGCTTCTCTTCTTGTAGTGTTCTGGGAATGGAGGGCCTTGCTTATGTTATAAGTGCTGTGGGATCTTCTGATAAGGGTGTTCTCTAGGCTCCTTTGCTAGAACTTCTGTGCAGGAACTAGGCAGAGGGTGTGGTGCAGACCTATCTGTGGAATGCCTCCCCTGTTGAAATGCGATTGACGCCAGTGCTGCTGTATGCCTGGGTATTTTAAGTCGGTGCTTCCATAATTATATGCCCAGGTATTTTGAAGTCTTATGCTGGCTTATGACCATCTATTATGCTTATGAAACGAAGCATAATTTTATGTTTCTGATTTTTTTTCTTCCACCCTCTATAGAATGTCCCAAACTCAGAGGATTTGGGGCATTCTATAGCGGGTGGAAGAAACATGCAGGCAAGGATTTCTCAGTATTCCTCCCACCCTCCAAAATGCTTAGATGACTGACTTTGGTTGTGTGTGTATTTTGCAGCTGATCACTAGGAGAGAGGCTGAGTTGCCACCAGGAAGCACTGTAACGTGGCAGAGCCTCCCTGCTTTCCCTGTGGTGGAACAGCCAGCCCAGCCCCGAGGCTGGTCTTGCACAGTGCTGGCTGCAAGGGCAGATGAGTTTGGAGTTCCAGCTTCACCCTCAAAATGTGTTTCTGACGTTAGAGCTGGAACTTCACCCTTTCCTATTGCCACTGAGTGTATGCTTAATGGTCACAGGATTGTATCATTAATGCTTCATTGTACTGGAGCTTGTATTGGTCTTCAGACCTTTTGTATACCAGGCTAATATCTCGGGATGAAAAACAGGTTACAACTACCTTAAATAATTAATAATCAAATCTTCTGTGGTGACCACTAATTATACATTACTCTCATTTAGATTATTTGGGGTCAGATTTATAACAGAAGTTTCCCCTGTGCTGCAGTAAATTACATTGACCGACCAGTGCAGCTCTATTGTATTCCATAAGAAAACACGTACACTTGTTTCATGCCCAGGTCATAATTTGATAGTGAGCAAGCAAAATCAATGAGCCTCATTTGTGGGGGCCAGAGGATCACCTGATAAAAGTAGGGGAAGGGGCTTAAATGTTAATTTCAAAATTTAGATGAGATCAATTTGATTTGTGACTCAAGAACCAGCTTTTCATGATGCCATTTAATTCTATCCTATGACACCTAAATATTTCAGAACTTTAAAGTTCTGTAAACATACATATTTGCAAATAATTGTGATATCAGATATGAAATAAGGTTTTGTTGGTGGTGGTGTTTGTTTCCCCGAGGGTAAAATTCTTAAGATGAATTCAAGCGTTTGATACACATAGTGTATTTACATGCTGAATCACACTGGGATATAAATCTAAAACAATAACTTTTTATAAATACATATCCATTGAGAAAACAGATGCTTCTGCCATCCAACCTGATCTGTTTCTTTTATTAAATGCAGACAGTTGCAGGTTAGACTTCCATGTAATTTGTTTTTGGGGAATGTTTTAATCTAGATGCATAAAGCCAAATTGCTCAAGTTCACTCATTTATATGGAGTGTAGTTTACTGTGTAAGTGCTTTTTTGGCTCAGTGTGTCTCCTTTTCTGGCACCTAGACTGATGCCTTATCGGTGTCCTAGGTGCCAGGGAGCCTGGGAAATGTAGTTCTCTAGGGTGTTTCACTTGGCATTAGGTGTCTTGGATAATACTTATCCCATCAGTCCTTGTAGCTGATCCAAGAAGGGTTCACTTACCCCTATATAGTATCTATCCTTTCTGCTTCCCTGATCGTTTAGGCATGTATCCATATTATACACATATGCCTGCAGTTTCTTTACAGTTTGTAGTGCTTGGTTTAAACTGGTACAATAACCAAGACCATTGCATTTCATTTGGGGTTGCAGTAAATGTACTTATTACTGTACATATTGAAAGAGAAGTTTATGTTGTTGTAAAGTTGGTGTGATGTGGTTTCCTTGCTGTTGTTGACCATGGAGAGAAGCCCATTATGAGGGTTCATTAAGCCTCCAGGGGGAGATGATGGTGACGAGTAATGTTATTTCTATACTGCCCCTTAACCAAAGCTCTCTGGATAGTTTACCAAAATTAGTAGTACAAAATGCAAATGCAATTACAAGTATCACAGCATTTCACTACAGAAACTTTTTAAAAATGTAAACAAGTGAAACACATTAATACAGCAAGATCTCTTACATACACCCTCCCCTTCGATATTAACAACTTTGGTTAGGCTTCCTGGAAAACAAAGTGAATTCTTTCCAAAGCTTCTGAACCCTTAAAATTTCTTTCACACATTTGGTGGCAAGTTACCCTTGCTGTACCATTCCAGTCTTCTATAAACCAGAAGGAGCTTTGAGGCCCACAGGTGGCAGATCCCTTATTCTCCTTAGTTTGCTCTTCATTAAAACCGGGGGGGGGGGGGCTTCATGTTCTGCCCCCTACTCATTTTCTTTGCAGTGTGTGGCACTTATACCCATTCTTTGACTTGACCTCTCCTGCCCTTTTGTATCTTGGCACTAGCAAGGCACTGGGTCTTTGGCAGAAAGCTGTCAGAAGTGGAAGGGGGAATCTTTTGTTTCAAATACTGCCAGCTCTTGCCTCAATGTAGAACAGTTTGTTCTGTGAAAAGAATGAGCCAGTTCAGTGAGCAGGAGAACATACAGCCATAAACCAGCATATTGAGAAAGTTAAAAAAAAAAGGCCTTTTTGAAGCTGTCTTGAAGCCATGTTCTAAGGAAGCTGAGAAGAAAAATAATCTGTGTTTTCTAACAGGACTTTTTGTTTTGGCACATTGGTATTTCCACAGGGTCAGGACTTTTTAAAATCTTACATGGACATGCAGGACATAGGAAAGAAGTTGTATGTGCAAAATAAGAACTGACTCCTCCTGACCTGACCTGTGCTCCATTGGAACATTTTGTAATGGTATTTAAAGCTTTCTTACCTGGGGTCCACCAAGCTTCCGTCTCATTCCTCCCAGTCCTTTGTGGCCTAATATAGACAAAGTGGGCAATTCATGAATACCCACAAATAATTTGTTTTCTTTTTTGCTGCTAAAATGCAACTAATTTCAATGGATTTGACAATGAACATTTTCATTACCTCTTAGGAAATTACTGGCATGGAGACTCCAGGTTAGGGAACTTTCCAAGGAGTATCTTAACAGTGGCTACCAGTTTTGAATTCAGATATGCTAAACTTGCTAAATTTCTTACCTATGACATTTACTTGCTGAGGGGCATGCTTGTCCTGGAAGGAGGCTGCTTGTAATAGTATTTGCATTTGTGAATTTTTAAAAATCTCATTTAAGTAGTGCTTAATAATTTGTGGTAATAGCACATAATGATCATTCTAGACTGTTGTTGTTGCTTAGTTTGAACACTATAAACCTCTTGATATTGAAAAAGTATGACCAGCATTTCTCTTTAATACAG